AATAAATGTCATATAAAATATTTTTAGTTTAAATTGGTACGAAATTTAATCGTTTTGGGGCGAAAACGGACCCGGACAAAGGGGAACACGTGGCGCAACTCGGGCCAAGCCTTGAAAATTATAAATAGGACTAAATATCAGATATTTCAGCAGAAATATCTCTGATATTCAGCTAGTTTCAGACGTTGGAGGAAGAGAAGAGAGAAAGAGAGTTTTCAAGTTTTTCTTCCGTCAATCTACTAGGCTACGTTGGTCGGAATCGCTTGAACCAAGAATTAAAGTTGGTCTACACGACGAGGGCTACGTGTGGGTACAAAAAATGAAGAATTTCACCGAAAGTCTAAAGGGGAAATTTTGGGGAAATTAAGTCTTGGNAATCTACTAGGCTACGTTGGTCGGAATCGCTTGAACCAAGAATTAAAGTTGGTCTACACGACGAGGGCTACGTGTGGGTACAAAAAATGAAGAATTTCACCGAAAGTCTAAAGGGGAAATTTTGGGGAAATTAAGTCTTGGTGGGTATTTTCTTGAGCTCAAACCGAAAGGAAANACATTTGCCAATAAGAGTCTGATTAAAACCTTTGGAAAGCTCCATAGTTTCAACAAGGGACCAATACATACCAGGTTCCCCTTTATTAAACACAACTCTCTTAGAAGGCTTCAGAGGATTTACAGCATTCAAGGAACCAAATAGAATTGGAGATGAAGGAACTTGAAAAGTAGAAGGATTCTGAGCATTCGATGTAACAAGAGGAACCTGAGAATCTCTTCCAGGAATCGGGATCTGAGTTTTTGGCAGAATTCGGTCTATCGAAGGATCTTGAGAAGATGACTTAGATGGAGGAATCAAAACAGAATGGGAATGCAGATTAACTCCTTGAGCATCAGCAGGAATGTGCATTCCTAATCCAGATGACGAACATTGATTATTTGTTGAAGATGACACAGCCGAAGGAAGAACAGAGGCGATCTGAACAGTCGGTGTATTTTGATTCAGCTGAGAAACCAGAGGCATAGTAACGGTGTTATTACATCCCAAAGGATCAACAAGTGTTAAGGAATTGATCTCTGAAGCAGCAGGAATTGTCAGAAAGTTTTCCACAGATGTAGTTTTCTTGAACAATGAGGCAAAATTTTTGGTAATGTCAGGCGATTTTGGGGGAATTTGATGAATTTCATGGCCAGATTTCATGCTATGACAATCAAAACAGTAGAAATTTCAACAAAATTACAAGAAATAATCAAAAATTGAGATAGAAATGGAGAAGATCTGAAAAAGAAAGAGAAAATTCTAGAGAAAAGTCAGACCTTCTCTCTCTAAAAAGAAATAACTGCCTCTCCTCCCTCTAAACCCTAAACCCTAAACCCTAAACCCTAAACCCTAAACCCTAAACCCGAAACCCTAAACCCGAAACCCGAAACCCGAAAACCCTAAAACCCGAAACCCGAAAACCCTAAAACCCGAAAACCCTAAACCCGAAAACCCTAAACCCTAAACCCTAAACCAACCCTTTATGAATCTATTTCAAACCCTCAAAGTTTAAGATTCATAAACGAACTCTAACTCATAAAACCAATTACGAAACTACATGTTGTCCAGATTTTTCAAATCAGTTTCTATAGGCTGGGGCTAACTTTCAAAAATCACCAAAACTCGTATTTATCTTCATTTTACTTGAAACCAAAACCAAACGAATCCTTTTTCAGTCTACATTATAACCTCAAAATCCCAGAATTATTAAATAATCGTAGCTTATGAAATGAATAAGAAACTCACCTACTGTCAGGTCATAATCATTTTTAGAAATTCACCAAAAATAGAGTTTTCATCCTTTTGGCATGAAACCAAAGCCAAAATAACCCTTTATGAATCTATTTCAAACCCTCAAAGTTTAAGATTCATAAACGAACTCTAACTCATAAAACCAATTACGAAACTACATGTTGTCCAGATTTTTCAAATCAGTTTCTATAGGCTGGGGCTAACTTTCAAAAATCACCAAAACTCGTATTTATCTCCATTTTACTTGAAACCAAAACCAAACGAATCCTTTTTCAGTCTACATTATAACCTCAAAATCCCAGAATTATTAAATAATCGTAGCTTATGAAATGAATAAGAAACTCACCTACTGTCTAGGATTGACAGCACCACTCCTTCTTTTTCCTTTCGGTTTGAGCTCAAGAAAATACCCACCAAGACTTAATTTTCCCACAATCTCCCCTTTAGACTTTCGGTGAAATTCTTCATTTTTTGTACCCACACGTAGCCCTCGTCGTGTAGACCAACTTTAATTTTTGGTTCAAGCGATTCCGACCAACGTAGCCTAGCAGATCGACGGAAGAAAAACTTGAAAACTCTCTTTCTCTCTTCTCTTCCTCCAACGTCTGAAACCAGCTGAATATCAGAGATATTTCTGCTGAAATATCTGATATTTAGTCCTATTTATAATTTCCAAGGCTTGGCCCGAGTCGCGCCACGTGTTCCCCTTTGTCCGGGTCCGTTTTCGCCCCAAAACGATTAAATTTCGTACCAATTTAAGCTAAAAATATTTTATATGACATTTATTTAAAATATTTTTTTTAATTTCAAAATTTTTTATAAAAATTTCATTTTTTGAGGTCACCGGACACCCGTCACCTCGAAAAACGTAAAAAATCTGATTATCTCAGAATTCGACGAAATTTATTTGGGTAACTAGATTTCACGAGATGAATCCAACGGTGAGGTCCGTTTCATCATCCGAGGTCTAGAAAAATATCAGTTTTTTTTTAACCCACACTATAATGTCAAATTACCATTTTGCCCTTTTTAAGAAAAAATTAAATTTTTTTCTCGGGTTTCACAACTTTCCTCTATTGCCACATCCTTGCCAGAGTGTTCACCAAGGAGCACATTAAATTTGTTGACTCCTCCCTTTCATGCTTCACTTGAGTCTTTTAACTTAGAGTTTCCTTGGGTCACCTGGTGATTGTCTTTTAAATTGATTTAGGGCCTCCTTTCCTTGTTACTTTTTGCCACTCTTTTTCTTTCCCCTTTGGATCAATGATCTTCTTGATACGACCAGCTTTCTACTTTTCTTCCTCCTTTGGGTCATTCACCAGCTTTCCCACTATTTCCTCCCCTTCCCTTTTCCCTTTGCGACATTCCATCTTTTCATGACCTTGCTTCAAGCACCCAGCACAGTACTTTACGGATTTTTCATAGGTTATTTTCTTCCAGCGCCCACTAGTACCTCCAAAATCCAACCAAATTCTTAGGGGATTTTCCACTAGCAAGTTGACTTCATCACACACACGAGCAACCCCTGGCCTTGTTAATTGCAGAGTAGATGAATCCATTACAATGATCTTCCCAATGGGGCTTAATATATCTCGGAGGCTTTCCTTTTCGAACAGATGGATTGGCAAACCTAGGAGCGATATCCAAATAGGGACCATCGGCGGTTCAATTCTGGGCAAGAACTCCGGGAACCACTTGAATAACCTGAACAGAAATCCTTCAATATATGTTGCATCTTTCAGCCACGTTTTGGCATAGTCTTCATAAAGTTCGAAAATGATGAGGACATGCCTTAGGTCCAAAACCCCCAATGTGAAATCGCCCTTTGGCAGCCATCGAGTGGTTATGAATTCCCTGATGACCCCAATTGAAGGTTTCCCATAGGTGCATTTGCCTATCGTCTGGTGGAACTTTGTGGCTAGAGCTTGAGTTTCATCAAGGGACCAATAAATCCCTGGTTCGCCATTGTTATATACCACCCTTTTCGCTGGCCTGAGAAAAGAGGTTGAAGGAATCGGGGAAGAAAGGCCCTCAGTCGAGATAGAGTTTGCGATGGCTACCGAGAAGAAAACCGCTAGACACAAAGAAAAAGGTAGAGAGAAGTGAGAGCTTCTCTCTCTAGAAACAAAAACTGCCCTCCTAAACCCTAAACCCTCAACCCTAAATCCTCAACCCTCAATCCTAAACCTAAACCCTTTTTGTTTTTTTAAATAAAAATTTTATTTATTAAATGCAAAGATTACAAGAAGCAAAACAGTCACTGTTTTTAAGATAAAAACAATGACTGTGGAACATTTATCAAAAAAACAATACAAGGGTAAAAAAGTAATTCTATCAGTAGCCCCTTTGTACAGCTTCTTTCTTTCAACTGAAAAGTCATTCCCAGATTAAGGCAAAAACAGGCCAGCTGAATCACACAAGACCACAGCAGAACAATTGAGAGACTCCCATACCAGCTCAGCTGAGAGATTCCACCACCATTGGTTTATTAAAGCTTCAGTTGAGAGCCCACAGTCCACCACTAAACAGAGTCCAAACAGCCTGACAACTGGAAACCTAAACCCTAAACCCTAAACCCTCAACCCTAAACACTCTACCCTCAACCCACAACCATCAACCCTAAACCCTAAACCTTAAACTCTCAACCCTAAACCCTAAACCCTAAACCCTCAACCCTTAACCCTCAACCCTCAACCCTTTTTTTTTTGGGAAAAAGAGAGAAAATTTTATTTAATAAATGCAAAAATTACAAGAAGCAAAACAATTACTATTTTGAGATAAAAAACAGTAATTGTGGAACAATTAACAAAGGAAAACTATACAAGGGCAAAAAAGTAAATCTATCCGTAACAATCCCTTTATACAGCTTCTTCCTTCCAGCTCCAACTCCTTCCCAATGCTAGACAATGATGGACCAGCTGAACCGCAAAATCCAGTAGAATCCAAAGCCCAGCTGAAAGGCTCCACTCAAAACAAACCAGATGAAAAGAAAAGCAATTAATGGGCATAAAAAACCGCAGCTGAGAGACAGTAGATGAAGAGTCAATATCGCAGACAGCTTGACAGTGGTTCACTGAATGCAGAAGCAAAACTATTTTGAAACCCGCAGTCCATGCCTTAACTCCAGATTCAGAAAACAAAGCATATAAACCAACTCCCCAACTGGCATGCAGATACAGAACACCAGGCATAGGAACAGCCAGAATGTCACCTTTAAAAAGCAGCATTTCCACAGATAAAGCACCCACATTCCGCAAACATGAAGTGCAAAAGAGATGAAGTGGAGATAAGAAAAAACGAGGAGAGAAGCCCAAAAGCCATCAAGAGAAACGAAGATGAGAGTCCTGGGAAAATACCCCCAAAATTCCCCATGAACCTGATACACCTGATGCGGCAACTCCTGCTTATGTGGACAGAGAAACCAGAGGACAAACATCAACCAAATGATCCTTAGAGAAAACTTTGACATCTGTGTCCCCCACATTATTTCAATGTTCTGCTACACGATCTTTTGAATATAAATCCACAGTGAATTATCACCATCACCATAGCAGCATCATCTTGAAATTCTCCAAAATCTGCTAACCAAGCAGAACAGATAACAAACACAGCCAGTAGGCTTAATCCAACACAGAGCAAAATCATCATAACAAATCCACACAGAGCAGCCACCAACAATAAGTCATTTTAATTGCCATAGAAACAAAATAAAATGACCAAATAATCATCAACTTACTCCATGCCTTTGCTCACATACCACCCTTTTAATCAACCTGACAGTAGGCAAACTATTTTGATATTGGTATAAGAGTAACCTTCCAGCAGTTGGCAACATATCAGTTCCAGAAAAATCTAAAGATTTACCAGAATGCACAGCAAAAGAGGCTAAGAAATCTGCAACAATATTGGCCTGCCTATATACATGCCTTAATTGATACTTAAGTCTTGCTAGAGCCTGTAAAATTTATTCCATAATACTCTGCAACCTCCAATGGATATCTGCTTTTCCCAAAATCATCTGAATCAGATTCAATCCAAAATTCTTTACCCTGTAGCTCATTTCTCAAGATCAAATTCAAACCATCAAGCAAAGCCTTACACTCAGCTTGCATGTTTGAACCTATTCCATAAAATGCAGCAGCAGCCAAAATAATATGCCCCCTTGAATCCCTCAACACCATTCCTCCTCCAGATAATCCAGTGCTTCCTTTAGAGGCACCATCCACATTTAGCTTCAGCATGTTACCAGGAGGTGGATCCCATTTTACCCATATCACCTTAGTTACAACAAAGAAAGGGGAGCCAACTTTCAAATCATTCAACATATCTTTTCCTCTTTGATCCTCACCTCTGCTAGGTTTGATGAGATAAGCTTGCCACCTCAAAGCTTACACCACTTGTAAAAAAAT